TTGTTGTGGGAGGAGCTTCACCGAAGGTGTGCTTGTTGTGGGAGGAGCTTCACTGAAGGTGTGATTGTTGTGGGAGGAGCTTCACCGAAGGTGTGATTGTTGTGGGAAGAGCTTCACCGAAGGTGTGATTGTTGTGGGAGGAGCTTCACAGAAGGTGGGATTGTTGTGGGAGGAGCTTCACTGAAGGTGGGATTGTTGTGGGAGGAGCTTCATTGACATGGCTGTGCAGTAGGAGGAGCTGATCTGTCAAAATAAATGATAAATCAGTTACTTATTTACTTTTTATACTAATTCACACATTTTAAGCATTTATGTTTACCTATCATCTATATATCTAGTACTGTAAGTTGTCAATGAATTGCACAATGTCTTATACTTAATTTAAAACAATTAATATTTTGTTGAGCCAATTTAACAGATTGAAATTCCAGTGTTAGATAATATTTAGCAAAAACACATGTCAGCATACTAACACAGGAATTTCAATCTGTTAAATTGGTTCAACAAAACATTATTTGTTTAATTGAACTTGTTTTAGTCTTGTATGGACCTTAAATTATCGCACAAAAAAGTTTTCTTAAATTTAAGTTTTTTTTTTTAATGCATGTTAATGACAATTTCATTTACATTTGTAATGTACTCCATAATGACTGAGCAAAGAAGACTGATCTCAGAACTGGCTTTTGCACAGTTATTGCTCACTGAGTGAATCAACATGTTATCATTGAAGCTGCCAGCACTTAAGCATGAGCACATTGGTATCCTCAAAACTTCTTTAAATCTCAAATATAACTCACCATTATGTCTAACAACTCTAACATGTCATTCTCTTTCCTTAAAAACACTTAAAATGACAATTATTTTTAACACGTTTCCATCTTAATGCGGTCCCATGCAAAGCATGCTGGGAACTATCCACTGCTCAGTTAGTTGTGTCAACAAAAAGTATGAATGTACAGTAGTCCCAACACAAAATTATTAAATGTTCGCTTAAATTTTCCAAATTTAAATGGACTGAACATTACAAAAATGAGTTACATAGAAAAAAAAATCAAGAATTTTGTTTCTGCTTATTTAATAATAAAAAAAATTGAGTGCAGGGCAAACCACATTCCTATTTTTGTCTCTTTTTATAAGAATTCTAATGACATATTTCATCCCTAATTAACGAGCAAGGAAATATATAAAAATGAAGATACACAGAAAATGTGATAATTGAATAAATGCAAAAGAAACCAAATATAAACAATGTAAAGAAGAATTAAAAACTAAAGATTAAACATAGAAAAACAAATAACCCACTAATTTGAGTGTTTTGTGTTTTATAGCTATGAAACATAGTTTATCACAGATTAATGAATAAATGCTTGTGATAGTTACATCTTGTAATGTCACAAAAGATGATCGCTTAAGTCTGTTGACAGCAATAAAATGAGCTTAATGCTGCAATTAACAGATCTGAAATCATCAGCATAATGAATGAGGTGAAAACAGGGGCTATTATCATGAAATAAAGAGGATTTTCAGCAGCTGATAATATTGATGAGTCTCAGACTATAAACACTCATTAAACAAGCCATTCAGGATCAGCAGCAGATCATCTCATTTTTTATATAAGCATCTGTGGGTAGAAACTGATTATTTGCATAAGGATATTTGCTGAAAGACTATACAACTGCTCTATTAAAACATAATATGATTGTCTCATAAAAAGATACAGAATAATAATATAAAGACAGACACTAATGACATCACTTACATCAACCAAAATGTTTGCATACAGATCTAAATATAGTTTGAATTGCTAATAACCACATTAAAGTAACTAGCTAAATTATAAAACTGTTAAAAATAAAGCGCATTCAGTACCAGCAACATTATCACTCCAGACATCTAAACAATCATAAACAAATAAAAACACAAATTCGCTCAGATCTTAACATTTCCCCTCACATGCTCGTTGCCTGCTGTTATAAATGTTTTAGTCAGCAAACGCAGAAAGAAAACAATTTAGAAATTGTTAACAGTTAAGTGTATTTTACAATAGTGTAAGTAGGGGTGCTGAGGGGGCTGCAGCACCCCCTGTTTTCACATAGTTGCAAATGCAATGCCAAGTTTGTTCATTTAAATTTATTCAGTTTTAGCATTTAATCATTTATTTGTAATGATCTCTGAAATGTAAATTGTAAGTGGGCTATAATAAACCCATGTTTATCTTTATAAACATGATTAATTTTACTTGTGATGTTTTCTATATGGGATGATTAGTCTAATCCTCAAGAAAAACGTGACGCTAGCGCGTGGTATCAGACATGAACTGTACAGAATGCGAACAAGATTAACTGTAATACAAGGAGATAATGGCGCAAAAGCGAATATCAGATTTTTTTTAATGCCCATCCCAGCAAAAAGTTTCCAAAATCGGCATCCAAACAACACCAGCCCCAGCACCGACGTAAGTGAACCCCTGACATGTTCTGTTTACCAACTTGTTTCCTCTTCTCTGTAATGTAAAGTTCAAACCAGCATGACCTATTCTAAGACGTGTAATTATCTATCCTTCCTTTGGATTCCTGCTCTGCCTAATACTATTTAAGCCTACTTGTTTTTGTATGTTATACAGATGTCGTCCAGTATCAGTTATGTCCCAGTATTCTTGCCATATTTTGTTTGTGTGTCCCTTAATAATGGTTTTGATTTCTGTTCTACATAACGGTATTTGTATATCAACTGTTTCATGCTTTATTGCTCCTCTTGCCAGAATATCTACAATCTCATTTCCTTCCACCCCTACATGAGCAGGAACCCAAAGGAAGGAAACATCTAGCCCTTTATCATACAGTATTAAAAGTAAGTTGAATATCTGGTATATGATATCTTGTCTACATGATGTTTTCCCAGAATACTAGATAGAGCAGATAAGCTGTCAGAAGCTATGATTACATTTTGGTTCTGTTTTATTTCCTTCCAACCACTGTAATGCCAATAAAATTGTCTTAACAACCTGGAGCTTAACACGCTCAAAACTGTGGAGATGATTGTGGACTTCAGGAGAAACCCCTCTGCACTCCCACCACTCACCATCATGGA